GGTTTTTTTTTGGGGGGGGGGGGGGTTGTTTCTCCCCTGCCTTCTTAAAGTACCCAGATGCAGCTACTGCCATAACTATTAAAATATTTGTGATTTTTGTATTCACCTTCTTAAAGTTAACCTAATAATTTCGTCTTTATAAATTTTATTTTGATGTCTTCCTCACTTCTACCCTTCAAATTGTTTCAGCCATTGTATGGAACTTCTGTTTGTTTCAACAACAGTCTGTTCATCTGTAACTGCTAAAACATTGGTAATTGGAGCTTCTGTTAAGAGAGAAGATGTAAATCTTGCAGGATATCATGAGCTTTTGTTAAATTATGATGCAAAGATTTTCTTCTTTTCCTGTTCTAACGAATGAACGTCTCATTTTTGTATTTGAGAGAATTTTTGGAATTTGAAAATGAATGCAGTGAAATGATGGCTTGTTACAGCTTCCATTCTGACATCTCATTTATTTCAGAATGTTCATTCACTAGTAATCCAGTATACTGAGCTGCGTCAAACCATATTTTTTACTTGTCAATTCTTCATTAGGAGTCACATGACACTTCCACCCCTCCAAAAAAGGGGTGGGGGGCAGGATTTGGTCTTCCACTGTAATTCATTTTATGATATTAATAAGCTGCTCAAAATTAAATGTTACAGTATAATTTTAATGTAAAATGACTTTAATGCGATTGTGTGGAAAATATAGCTGCCACTATAACCATTTTGTTCTTTATCATAACATTAGCATCATAAATGCTATAAAAATTTCTATGTTGCTTGCAGGATTTGCGAAAGGCTTCAGTTCTTATCTTTGCAAATAAACAAGACATGAAAGGTTGTATGACAGCAGCTGAAATATCTAAATACCTCACCCTTAGCTCCATAAAGGATCATCCATGGCATATACAGTCCTGCTGTGCTCTTACAGGAGAAGGGTAGGTATCCAGGAATGTTTGTATGTGTTCACCCACTTGCAGTATATGCAATACTGATGGCAGAAGCTTGCTCACCAGAAGAAAATTTGCTTGTAGTGTTTTGCAATATTGTGTTTCTCCTCTGGAACCCTCCAGTACCTTGGATGAAACATCCTGGTTTGCTTCATATACAGGCCTTTTTCCTCTCTGCTTGCTATCACCATTTCAAGATTTACCTGCCTAAATTCACTGTAAACTTGGTCATCTTTTGATTTGAATGTAGAATAAAGAATCTGATCCTAAATGGGAGTATGGCCTTTAGCGTAACTGTAAGGGCCACTAGTAAAACACACTTTCTTGGGTAAGGCCATTACATGTTCTGATATTTCTAGAAATCTCCAGTAGATTCTTATCCTTCTTGTTTTTCTTTTAATGTACTGTTTTACCATACTTCTTGATTTTTTTTTTTTTAAATATACAGCCAAACACAGTAAAGTACAATGTAGTGTAGATACATAACGCACAAGTTCATTTTGTTTTGGAAGGGAAAAATTTAACACTCATGTTGGTGTCTCTTACTTGCTTTGACCCTTGTTTAGCTGAAGCACCCTGGGGTACCTAGAGATCCTTGCAAGCGTGCCATACAATGTTAGCATTGTTAAATATGCAAATATAATTTAGAAGATAAACCCAGAGGTTTCAAAGAAGAATCCATAGTGTTAAGAGCACACTGACCTGTTGTGGTGTTTCTCAGTTCTTTGCAGCAGAAGAATTGGTTTATTATTTTTTCTGTGTTTAAAAATCAAGTGAAACCTAAGAGCTGGCATTTTCGGAGGTATGCCTTGAATCTGTCAGGGTCTGCCTTGAGCATAAAAAGCTGGAAGATATTCTGTCTTCTAACAGAATTTGTTCTTGAGCTTCTCTTTCAAATCCAGTTACTCAATTTTAAGAGCTTATTTAAGAATTTAGTGTTTCATGTGTACAGTAGCAGAAGAAAATTCTGTAGAAAGGTTCTTAGAACATGAAAAATATCAGATATAACTGATCATTTAGAAAAAAAATCACATATTTTGAAATGTGAAGTTAACCTTTTCTATTGCATGATATATTTTCTAATACATGTCCTGTGAAGTGGCAACCTGTACCTTGATTCCTTTTTTTATGATTACCTTTCTTAAGCATGATGATATTTTTTCCTTTCTATTTTCAGTAGTTGTCATAGACTTTCGCAAAGGCACTGAAATTTGCCTCGGTTATCAGTTTGTATAAACATATGGTAAATGTGTATATTTAAAATAATACATAATAAACAAACATATAAACAAATATATTACTTTGCCTGGATTTAAAGTAATTTTTCAATGACCAGGTGAGATTTTTGTCTTCCTTTTTTGACATTCCAGATTTCTCTTTGAAATCTCTGGGTTTGTTTGCACACTTATGAATGCTAACAGAAGGTGCCACGACCCTCTGGTTGAGCATCATTAGTATACTGGTTAAAACATCTGTTTAGTGCATCGTGGCTGACAACTTTACAGTGTTAGCCAGATGTGAATTAATTATATGGGTTATGAACAGGGATCCTGGTTTTTTCTGTTTAAAAATTGTAAATTATCTGATTCAGAACCCCCAGATCTGTGTTTTTCTGTGATTAAAATGAAATGCCACTATATATATGTATAATTATCTGTTGAACACAATGGTTTATTGGTATATTCACAACTTTAAAGCAATTAGGAAGCTTACCAATTGTTAATAAAATATATTCTAAATACCTATAGATGTTGGCATTTGATTTTGGGTACTTAATCATGGAATATCAGAGCTCCCCCTGCCCCCTTGCTCACCAGGACATGGGTCCAGTTGCAGCTGTCCCACCCCCGCCACTGCTTTGTGGTGCTGAGCAGCCCTGATATGCCAGTGCCTTGCCCATGCAATTTTCCCCTCACTCCCTACCCAGAGCTCCCCCCTGCCAGAGGGGGCCCCCAGCTGCCAAGGGTATGGGATCAGGGACCTGGGTCTGCAGCCCTGTGTCCCCCTGCAGCAGTGCCTGAGCCGCAGCTACTGACCACAGGAGATGGTGACTGCTGCAGCAGAGCAGAGTGCGGAACCCAGCTCCTTCACCCCCATGGGCCAGAGTGGAGACCATGGTGGGGTGTTGGGGGGAGGTGGATGTGGGCTGGCTGCTGTGGGCTCAGGGCTCCATGCCATGCCCTCTTCCGGGGTCCCTTAGAACCCAGTGGGTGGGACCCGGCACAGCAAGGCAGAGCAGGACCAGACTGGGAAGCTCAGTGCTGCCGCCAGGAGCCCCGCGCTGCCATGGTGAGGTGCTGCCATGGCAAGGCACCACCTGCCTGCCAGCCTGTCAGCAACAAGGGGCACAACTGATCTTAAAATGAGAATCTGGTTTTTACCACATTTTTCTGTGGCCAACGGAAAACCTGAATCCCTAGTTATAAAGATGTAGCATTTGAAAAATTATGTTTGCAGTATAGCATGGTGATAAGCCATTTGCCTTGTCAAATGGAAAAAACTCAAGTAAGAATTTATCTTGAATTTTGTTTCCCTGGAAAAAATAAATATATAAGATGCATGTTTTAACTCAGAAATAATGTCCAGCTGCAGTCAACAGCATGCCAGATATATCCAGATGATTAGCGCAAGTACAGTTTTAAAAGAAATGTATCCAGGCTTTGTACTTGGAATTAATGATGAAACATGATTCTCTTTTGGAAAGATGTCTTGCACAGAAGTAAATGTTTAAGATTTATAAGGTTTTGGAGTACAGTAGTAGTAGCATAATAACATCTCTCATTGCTTTTCAGGTTATGTCAGGGTCTGGAATGGATGACCTCCCGTATTGGAGTCAGATAACTTTTTTTGACAAAAGACTGCTTTATTTATTTTGTGAACATGTACATTTTTCTGGTACTTTTAGCTGGGAAGGCAGCAACCAGGTTTAATTTATAAAGGAAATCTCCAAGCAGCACTTGAATCAAGTGCAGCTGAACTGAAACACAAAGTATTTTCTTAATATTTTTAAATGTGCTAATTCACAACTGGATGAACACGTGAATCTGCATTTCAGTATCAAAATTCTTCTGATTGTTATTTTTCAATGATCAACTTTTAAATCAGTTTTGCCATTGATAATGTTTCATACTTGCCCTTTGTAATGATGTAAACAATTCTTGTAACTTACTAACAGGCTCAAAGGTGGTTTATCAGTGTAAAAATTAGTGAGTAGATGGGTCTTATCCTAGCATACTTTTTAATGATCTCAAATGATAGTCCAATTGATGATGGTGATAAGACCATCTCAGAACATAGTGCAGGATGTAGGAATTTGAAGAGTGAATACAGGCTCTGTAGCATTGAAGGTTATATGGCTGATTTAGGGATATTTTTTATATGTATAAACTTATTCCTTTAAAAAAATTCTTGTCCGTTTACTTTATTTCCATTTTTCTAATAATTTTTCTAATAAATATTTCTAAATAGTGGGGGGTTTTCCCCTGAAAACTGCTTTTCAGGGTGGATAAAAATTGGTAAAAATAATTTTAATGTATTTTATTTTAATTGAATTCTTGTTCAAATAAAGTTTTCTGTTTAAAAAAATGTTTAAATTTAAAATCACATCAGCCTCTAAGGCCTAAGCTTATCATAATCTATTAAAATAATTTAAATAATTTGCACTAAAAAGCCCTCTTCAATTTTTTAAGCAATTAAAAGGTCGTGCTTTACTTGTATACAGAATTGAGGTAAAAGTCTATGCATTCAGGTCTAATCAAGCTTTATAAGTATAATGCTTCATACCTTTATTTTTCGTGTGCAGTGGGGAGTGCCTATATTTACATTTTTCCGATGTATTTTCTGTTTCTGTTGTGCCGAAAAGATTTATTTGCCTTAATTTTGTTTCAACTTAGCTAGAATTTTACCCCCAGTTAGATTAATTAAAAATTCCAGTGTTTTGTGGGGGAGGGGATAGAATGGAAAGGGATGGGATGAGGTAGGACAGGACAGGACAGGACTTCCACCCCAGACAAAACCAAACAGATTCTTCTTTCAGGTAATGAATACAAGTCAAGTCAGAAAAAGGATTATATTATCTAACTTGAAAGATGAAGAGTTAAGTTTTTTTTGTTTTTTTTTTTTTTTACATATTTAGGAACCTGAAGATGAAAATAACTGCCCAACTTTTTTAGGCACTTCTGAAAGATTTCCCTAGGTAGCTGACTCCCACTGAAATCCATTTTCAGTGGTAATTAGGTGCCTAATATGCCTAAGGCCAGTAGAATTTTTCAAAAGTTCTTATTTCAGTTTTGGACACCTAAATACTACTAAAAATCTTGCCTAAAGTAACTAGAAAGAATCTATGAATTCACTAACAGTTAATGTTTTTCTTTTTAATAAATTAGTTTTAACTGCCTAGCATGTTTTAGTAGTCTTTTTTTTCTCTTTCGGGAATCTAGCACGCTTTAAGGGGATTTTTGTTTTGATTAATAAAAACTTCTTTGTACATCTTTAATTTATGATTTAAGGAGTTTTTCATCTGAATACAATTTAATCAGTCATTCACCATTCCTTAGCAAGTGTTAAAACTAAGAATCTGAGTAAGTGTATATTACGCTATAGAATTAGTTTGTTTTAAAAAATGTGTAGATGCTTTGTAACTTTCTGGTTAGCCAAAGGAGCCAAGCTGGTATGAAAGCTATATTTGGTTGCCAGTCAACATGTTAATGGCTGCACCAACCAATGCACATCACCCTTTCTTTAGGAGGAAAAATCCTTAAAAAGAAAAAAAAAAGAAAAGAAAAAAGAAAAACAAAATTACAGTTGTTTATTTAAATAAAAGTTTCCTGCTTGGTGATATGATGATGATGAATAATGAATTAAAACTAGGGTTGGGTATTTGACTGTTCAAATAAAGTTTGGTTAATTGACTAGTTAAGTATTGATCAAAAATTGTTTAAAAAACCTTGCCAATAGGTCCAAATAATAAAGAGAGAAAGCACAAATTTTCCATTAATAAATGTGTCAAAAATCATATTTCTGTCAAGAAAAGTACAAAAAAAAGTAGTTTTTTGTAAAAATACTATAATCTGTCTGGTGAAAAAATATGCAGTCAATTGACAATACAGTAAAATCTCTGTTATCTGGTACTTCACCAACCGGAATACCGTATTAACTGGAATTTCATTGCTGTGCTGCACCAAAAGCGGCAGGATGCACATAGCGCCGCATCACGTCTCTTTGCTTCCCACTGCACTACTAAAAGCGGTGGGATGCACATGGCGCTGTGCTGCTTTGCTTCCTGCTGTATGGAGGGGCAGGAAGCTCGCATGCAGCCGCCGCTGTCACAACCACCCTGCACTGATACCGCTTTGCATGCAGCCACCATCACCCCCTTCGCTCCCTTCTTGCCCCCTTGCCATGTCTGGCTGGAAACCCTGTGCCTCAGGTAACTTGCACTTTTATCTTACTGGCACCTCCCCATTCCCCCCTCTTGCCAGATAACAGGGATTTTATGTATTTGATTGGTCACTTGACTGGCTTGCCAGTCCTAATTAAAACTAGTGATTTAAATTGAACTGATTTTTAAATCAATCCACCTGGCAGCTTTGTAAATTATAGTAAAACTAGAGTGAATATGTTCACTAGAGTGAAATATCTGTGAACAGTACTGAGTGGTGGCACTCTTTTAACAATGTAAATTCAGAGGGGGGAAAAAAACATAATACAAGCCCAATATATTTTTCATAAAACTAATAATCTGACCACTAAATATAATCAGACTCTGTCTACATATAACTTTAAATAGAAAAAAATAGAAGAGCTTCTAACTCTGAAGAACAAGTCTAACTTTGTAGAAGACTTGGAATGAAATATAAAAATGAAGAGTTTTGTTTGTTTGTTTTTTAAAAACAGACTTTTTACCGCTTCCATAAATTAACTGTTCTGGTAGAGAACACGGTAGTAGAAAGCTTTCTTGACAAAAGGTATGTTGTAAAATTGGTAACTCTGCTGCTGCATTTTCTAGAACAATTTTCATTTTGCCTTTATGATATACCTTTGCACCCTCAATGTTTAGAAATGAAGAGCTTGGTCTGGCAAAAATGCACATGTAGGGCTTCACTACCCAAGTAGTCCATTAAACCTTTTTCATTCAAGTGCAATCTCTTTTGATATGGTGCTCTAGAACACTGTTGCTGTTTTCAATTCATGCTGTTTATAATGCTAATATTTTGTAAATCCAGTTCACTTGTTTGTGGTTACTATATTGGTGTTAATGTTTTACAATTTAAAAATACTTGTTATGTATTATCTATAAAATGTTCTTAATCATCCTTTCAATGGACTACAGAATTACAAATATTTTAGGAAAGAATATGAGCTACATTAATACTTCTTATTTTAGCTAAAATGGATTATCTGTGTAAAGAGTAAAGTACAGTGTTTTATAACAGAATATATTGGGTGCATGCTATAATATTTACTTTTCCCAGAGTGAAACACATTATTCAACAAATAACTGCTCTGATTTTTCAGAGATGCATTAATGCTGCTTTGTTACCAGCAGGTGTAAATGTGTTCATGTAAAATGCATGTGCACAATAATAGGTCTGAAATCAGCTCCATGTTTAAAATTAAACTGTATGACTTCTAAGTTTTTACATGATATGTAAATTGAAACTAATCTGGTAACACTTGCTTAACGCACTGGCCTCCATTCTGAGTGTTTTCCAAGCTTTTTACTACATAGCAGTTCTTATTCAATCTATCCCCTAATATTGTTTTTAATTGTCCACTGTTAAAACTGTTTCTCTTACAGATTATTTATTCTTGCAATATTTATCAGAAAATAAAATGACATAAATACTCTTCTCTTCCATAGTTATCGTTTATACCTAATTCATTTAGTAATGAATGATGAACATATAGGCAGCAAGGGAAAACATTTAGCCTCTCACTGCCCTGTTACCTCTTGCCTCTCCCTCCTCACTGCCCGCCCCCCCATGGAAAAACATTCACTACTTCCATGCCATTTATCAGACTATGAGAAATTACAGGGGAAGAAAACCTTATTTTCAACTGGGAGATGGAATGGCTTCATTTCCTCCCACCTTAATTCACATAGCATAGTTTTAGATTTTGCATATTTCCAGGGCTGTTCCTTGGGGGGGGGGGGGGGGGG